TTATAATTTGAAAATGTATGCAATTTGTCAATATAAACTTCTAGATGGCCGTAGCATTTATTTCTAGAGTTTAATTCTGAAGTCATAAGTTTAAGTCAGAGCCTTTTTTTACCTGAGTATGTATAGTTTAAAAAAAAAATGAACTTTTTAAAGATGAAGTTAAATTGCACTCTTAGAAGAAACTTTTATTACTTAATTTTTATATTCTGCTATAACAACATCCATAATAAAAAATTAATTTGATAAATTTAAAAAAATATATATATATAAATCTAATTACCCTGCCAAAAGTCTTAACATTTAACAAACTGCCAGGCTGTAGAGATTATATTTAAAATATTGTGGGGGGGAAAAAGTGAGTGAATGAAAAAAAAAAAACTGGGTTACAACAGGATTTATTCTCATGCTCGTTGGTCGAGAGGCAGACGGTGCTTCGGCCGGGTGAGTGAGGCTGGGCTCAGCTGGGCAGCTCGGCCGCAGCGGCTGGTACCGCGGGTTTGGCTCCTCCCTGCAGACTGAGCCCAGGTCTGCTCCACGCATGCTCATTCTGCGGTCCAGGCTAACTGGGCACTAACTGTGCGGGGCCTATTCACACAGCACAGGACCAGAGCCCCGGAAGGGCCATGCAAGTGCTTTTTAAACCTGACTTACACCCAAATAGTGACTTATGTTCACTATTTGGCCAGTTAGTGTCACCAGACTGAGCTCAAAGTCAGAGGTAGGGAAGCACAGTCGGGTCACTGTGAGGCCGTGGAAGGGTGTGGATGCTCTATTACAGTGGAAAGCCAAATGTGGACAAAAATGGAACCTCCCCCACTCCCCTTACTTTTTTTACTCTTCTTCAAGCTCAATATTCCTCTTTCCTTCAATCATACTCCATAGGACACAGCTTCTAGATCTTTCACCTGACAACGTTCTTCTATACTAACTTGAGTTCTTCAGCAATCTTGTTAATTCACAACACTCAGAAGTGAACATGACACTCCACATGTCGTCGGATCCATACTGGTGTCTCCTACTGAAAGGTTTAGTGGCTAACAAGTTTAAAACCTTACCAGATAAAAGCACTGCCAAGAAAATATAATATAAATGAAAAGGTCTGAGAAAAGTCTTAAAAGTATCAGCTGTCCTTCTTACTGAGTACTAGTTAGAGACATGTTTCTTCTAAAGCAAAAGGGAGGCAATTCAGAGTGATAAACCCAGGTTCCACATAAATTAGAGAAATTATCCTCTTTCTAAATTTAGTTTTTCACTTCAAGAACCAAATTTTCTACCCTCAGGCCATTTCACAGTTTATAAAGCACTTAAATACATGCTCTCTAATTTCATTTAATTTTTTACAACTCTGAACTAGTTATTATTTTTGCCCTTCCTGAAAGATGAGGAAATTGAGGGTTAGATGGAAGTTCAGCACTTCCTTTGCTCTGTGAACAATGTCTTTCTCACCTCCAGGCCTGCAAGGAAGAGACCTCCTCTCTGCACCTGGAACATTCCTCCCTGACAACCCCCTTGCTTTGCCTGTCTAGCTACTATTCATCCTTTAAGTTTCTACTCAAATAGCACTTCCTCTGTAAGCCGTGCCTAGCTTTCATTTTTTTCAGCAAATATTTGCGAGTTCATCTAGCAACAAAGGACCTCACAAGGTGCGGGGATCCTGCAGTGAGCAGGACAGACAGTCCTTGCACTCACATGGCTTAGCATCAGGCTGGGGAGAGACATAAACGAAGAACTACACAGCTGACCACTTAATCACAAACGCGGTGAACACTGCAAAGGAGAAGCACGACCCCACCCCGGCGCGGGTTCAATCTTGTTTTTCGTGTGCCCGTGGCTCCTCCTCATCACAGTGTCCGTCACACTTTGTTGTAATTAGCTCTTTGTCTTTATTTCCCACTGTGAGTGGGAGGTTTAGACATTAACTGGGCTGTTGAATAAAAGTACTTGATTATTTGTGGAGTGAGTGATTAAATGATCAAATGGCCTTGCCCAAAATACTAAATTAATGAGCCAGGATAACACTTGAACTTACGACTCCAATTCCTATACTTTGCCTCTATACAGCATACCAAGACATGGTAATGATTCTAATAAAGTTAACGCTAGCCTACTATACAATTACAAATAGAAAGAATTAACTTATAATGCATTTAATTTATAAGCTATGCCTACTTGTCACATGAAAACCTATGTAATACAGGTATTATATAGTATACATCTTACACTAACACAGATATACTAATTAGAACCCATTTTCTTTATTCTGATTATTACTTACACATTTGTAAGGGAGTATGTTAAACTATTTAACAGGAAAATTAAAAACGAGTTCACACTTAAATGGTGATAGCAGCAGTTACAAATAACATATATGACAAACAAATATATACAAATTTAGGGTTGTTTTTAAATGTAATAAGTAACTACTTACATGTGTAATTCAAAGTTTATGCTCCAAAAACTGATGTTTTAACAAATAAACTCCAGCAAAAGACACAGTAATGGCTAGTCTTTATAGGTACACATTCACAGTGGGATCAGCCTGCC